AGTGGTAGCAGTGGTGGCGGTAGCAGTACCAGTAGCAGTAGTATTAGTCGTAGCAGAAGCAGCAGTAGCAGCAGCAGTAGCAGGAGCAGTAGCAGGAGCAGTAGCAACAGAAGTAGTAGCAGCAGTGGTAGTAGCAGCAGTAGCATTAGTGGTAATGGTAAGAGTGGACGCAGCAGCAGCAGCAGCAGCAGCAGGAGTAGCAGTAGTGGCAGCGGCAAAATTGCGGCAGCTGTAGCCTAGCAGCTATAGCGAAACCAGTAGCAGTAGTAGCAGTAGTAGTCGTCGTCGTCATCGGAGCCGCTGCAGGGGCTGTGGCAGCAGCCGCAACAGCAAATGCTGATTTTCATTGTGCTTTTTCCACTGCTTCTTACTTTTTTATCTGTTGCTCTGGCTGCTGCTGGTGCTGTTGTTGTAGTTACTGTTGTTGTTGCGGCTGTGATTGTGGTTGCTATCGCTGTCGCTGTTGCTGTTGTTGCAGCTCTTGCTGTTGCTGCTGTTGCTGTTGCTGTTGCTGCTGCTGCTGCTGCTGCTGCTGCTGCTGGTGCTGGTGCTGGTGCTGGTGCTGGTGCTGGTGCTGTTGCTGTTGCTGTTGGTGTTGGTGTTGGTGTTGTTGTTGTTGTTGTGGTGGTGGTGGTGGCGGGGGTGGTGGTGGTGGGTGGTGGGTGGTGGGTGGTGGGTGCTGTGGTTGCTGTTGTATTCGATAACGTTAATGTGTTGGCTAAGGTGGTGGCTTATGACAGCAACGATGCAGACCATGGTGATTTAAATTCTTGTTAGCTTCACCCGGGCGCCTAGGCCGTGCTTCTGCTTACAGCCTGTGCCTTCGCCAACGGCTGCCCACTCGCCCCAAAGCCGGCAGCTGTGTCCAAAACGGTCGCAGCGTCTGCGGCGGCACTTTCACAGTGGGAGTTGAAAGCTCTCTTCGAGAGCTTGGCAAGGCAGATCACCGACTTCTACTTAGAGAACTACAACTGCTGCCACTGGGACACCTGTTTATGCCGCTGCAGCATCAGCTGTAGTGCGAAATGTGTCACAAAAAGAACAACCCAACATGAGGACTGTTGTTGCTGGTATTTGGACCCTTGATGTTGCACTGCGTTTAATTGAATGAATGACCTTCTTCAATGCGTTTTTCCCGGTGCTTATATTACTCGGTGTCATTGCTACGAAGTTAGCAATTTGTTTGGGCCCGGCGGATTGTGTTGGCTTCTTCCGTCCTTTCTGCTAATGGTCCGTAAAATGAGGATAGCAAGAGGCCGGAGAAGACTCATTGTAGCAGGCCTCCGGTTGCCGGATCATGGAAAAGTCTTCAAAATCAAGGCTGTTTTTGTCTTGGTGGTTATCTTCGAGATTTTAGAAACCCCGAAAACCCTCCTACTGTACCACTGCTGTGCCACTACTGTACTACCACTGTACTTCTACTGTACTACATTACTAAGCCTCAGGCCTAGTCGATTGTGGGGGATTTGACCAACCCTAAACCCCAAACCCAAAACCCAAAACCTATGGCAACAAACTGCCCTCCGGCCTCCCCCGAGGTCGATCTGGTCGCCTTTCTTGAGGGCGTCCGCACCTTTGTCGCAATTTAAGAGGTTGAGGATGAAGGGTTTACGGATACTACCGCTCTCTCTCTCTCTCTCTCTCTCTCTCTCTCTCGCTCTTTCTTTCTGTCTGTTTCTCTTGCTCCCTCTCTCTCTGTGTTCTGCCGACATGATTGGAAGGAAAGAAATTACTTAAAGCAAGACAAGTTTGACCTACGGCGCACGAATCACATAGGTCACAGCGCAAATATCACTGGCACAAAAGGCGATCGCCACGCGGATGTAATTGCTTCCAGGTGTCACTCCCCCCACACTGAGTCATTGTCTGGAGATCTCAACTGAACTCATGTACTTGCTGCAAGCCGTAAACCCGAAATCTTGACCGCCCGAGATCAGCGCTCAGACCCCAGCCGCGTCCGTAGGAGGGATGGAAGTACACAATGTAGAGGTCCTGCTCTGCAAAGATGTAGCCATTTGACAGCTCCGTGTCGTAGAAGGCTCGGAACTCGTCGAAGGACTCCCACTCCACCACATGTGGACAAACCAGCAGGGTAGTTGCCGGCTGGCCGGGATCGATGTCCTTTTGGGCCACAGTTGGAAGTCGAACGGCTTCCATTGACAAGTCCTCCAATACACCCTCCGGGGAGCGGCAGGAGCTGGCCACAATACGGACTTGCTGCGCCTCATCCGTCGGGCGAGCATAAGGGCAAAAGTTATAGCCAATAATAACATCATCCAGCCAGCGCCGAATGGCAAGCACCTGAAAGCGAAAACTCTAGCTAGGGTTTCTTGTTGTGACGTCCTTGTACACTGACTCAATAGATCTCAAAAATGGAGGCTTCTAGGCCCTAGGTTGCGGCACGTGCTCGTCGTTCTCAATCACTGCTCCCCGACGGCTGCGGCTCCAGCGGTGACCACGCAAACGGCAGCACAGCAGCAAGGTCGCGCCTTCGGGGGTTTTATCGGGTGTTATGATATGCAATATCTAACATGGGATGTATATTCATACAAGGTTAAGGTTTTACAATAATCTAACTCAGTGTGCGCAGATAATGCAGCACTCTTGTGCGTTCTGATGTGCGAGCAAAATCTAATGAGCACAGATCATCATCCATGTGCAGACGCACCATCCAATAGGCAGAACGGCTTTTACAGTGATAGGGGAAAGAATGAAGAACTAATGGACAAAAAAGGGCCGAGCATGCAGACAGCCACTATAGATAACTTGTCCGAAGTCCCGAGCCCTTACATCCCAACCTGTCACCGTCCATGAGCTGACGCCCTGCTTCATGGCAGCTCGCCGAAGGCTCCTCTGCTGTGCTCCTTTCCAGAAGAAAATCAAGAAACAAAGATTTATGCTTCTAGGGTTGAGGTCCAAATTTGGGATTTGAGTATAGGGTTTGTGGGGCTTAGCGCGGTAAGGTTCATGGAGCATGTTGACAAGTACACGTTCACAAGCTAGGCGTGGCCCCGTGAAGCTCTGACCATTCCAATGCATGACAAAGGGATGTCGTGCGCATTAACAAGGATGCCAGACCCAAGTATGCAGGCACACAGCACTAGCTCAACGACAGCGGCTTGCCCCAAGAACCCACAGTTCATGAAGCGAAACGGCCCAAAGGTTATGTGCATTGTACAGACATGAGTGTAGCTTCGCATATCCATGTCTGTGTATATACTAGTAGCTGTGGGTCGAACATAAGCGACAGCATCAAAGGGGAACATCTCACACAGTTCAACTAACTTTGTACCCAGCCAGGGATGGGGCAACCCCTGCTCCGGTTTAGTCCGGAAGCCTGTAGCACAGGGGCGGGGCAGCCCGTGCAATGACAATGAAACACAGAGTCGACGTTGGGTTGACCGTGTAAGGTTTTAGGGTGTAGGTACAACAGCAACACTACATGGTAGCAACAAGAGCAACAGTGGCACTTACTTTACCACATGCTCTTATAGCAACAATTTGCGACTTCGGCGATGCTACAGCGATTTCTCATCCCAGTGTCAGTACGTTGTACCACGACTAATGAGCACTGATGCTACCGCACTACCGCCCCGTTCTCACTTTTGGCCTGGTGCAACTGCTGACACTGCCCAGGCTGCTCGCGTTCTTTGCCACGACAGACCCAGGCCAAGTGCGGTCGGGATCGAAGAAGTCTGCATTGTGCGGCGTGCTTCGACAAAGACCACTCGCCGACTGAACTGCATGACTTGTCATATGCGACAACATGTACAGTTACTCCTCCATAACATAGTCCTGAACTGCTGCTTGAGCCGTGCGGCAGTCACACGGACAATCAGCAAGCACGGTCAACACACATTCAGTAGAATCAGTAGGGCATTTTCTCAGTACAGGGGCAGTGAAACATCATAAGCAAATTTGCAATACGTGTTGTATATATTTAAAGGCACTTGTAAGAAGAACTACATGAATGACCACTCTTGGTAGTAGGCACCGAATTTGCTATGAATCGCGTGTGGGCCGTTAAGACCTCTGTGATAGACTGGGTACAGTTGGCGAGTGTGCTGCAACATCTAAATTTGCGAGAACACCTGGATCAGCATGCGGAACATTACTTAATTTACACAAATATCGCTGTCAGTCCCACTCTTCGCAACCTTATCAGTATTGTGTCTGTTGCTTGTCTTTTCCTTTGGTTGCCCTTTTCTCGGTCACTGCCATTGCTAGATCATGCGCGAGTAATTCGATGCTGACTGGTGTTCATGGAGCTATGCGCTCCTCGTAATAAGCCATCACTGCTTTCTCTGTGACTCTGTCGCTCATGCCACATAGCCGCCTATGATTGAGTTTCTTGATTTCCCACTTACCAAAGAACCCCTTACCTCCAGTGAGATTCTTCTTGCCCTTTGTGCTATAGCCTGGCAGACTAAGTCGTGGCAATTGGTACCAACTTCGCTGCTACTTCTGTCAGCATGGTGAAAAAGGCTACTATACTATACAAGATTGCTTGCCGCCACCGCCGTGTCTCGGCAGCCATTGCTGCACTGCAGCTAGAACGTCTACGAGTTGCAGTGGCATCGCTCTGGCCACCAAATTCGAACATATTTGAACCGTGCCTGGTTCCATTACAGCCTGTGCACAACACAGGACAAGGACCAAAGCGCGTGAACAGGATTCTCAACAATCGTATTTTCCCTGTGGATATGCGTCCTGCTTCATCTTGGACGTGGTTGTCCAAAAGTCATCCTCTTTGCCTGTTGCAAGTCAACGAAATGCGCGAGGCAGTGCTGGGCTGCCTGCATTATGCTCTGACATGACACAGCAACAGTTCGAGCTTCTGATAGCCGGGGCTGCCACTCATCTTTGTCTTTCTGTCAAAACTGCACAAGTTCCATTCATGTTAGGAGAGATCTAGGGGCTGCTTGCTTGGCGGATCTTGGCTGCTTGCTGCATCTTATCTGTGGATTCACTCTAAGATGAGGGCTGCCAATGCAGGCCTGAATAAGGCTTCGTCGCCAAGGCCGCCCCAACATGCAGCGTGTGTGTGTGTGTGTGTCGCAAGCATGAGGCACCACACCAGTAGCACAGTCACCAGAGTCTTTGTCTCTTACAAATCGCCCCTTAAACCAGAAGCCCTACAGTGTGAACCCATGTAATCGGCTACTCTCTTAAACGAATAGCCTATGCCCTGCACCGTAACCCTTAACCCAGGGACGGGTCTACTGATTCCGATGCCTTCCCATCATCCGAAATGCAATTCAGACTGAGAGTTCGACTGATGTCGCCCGCACTGGTCGCCCACCTTTGCAACCCAGTGGGTTCGTGGGATTGGGAGGTTGGTTGCTTGATTAGGGCTTAGGATCTTATATGTTTCGAGCACAGGGGTGATAGGATACAATGTATGCAGCCTTGGGTCTCGGATCTTATGTAGTTTGCGCGGCGTTGTTGATCTAGGGCTGCTTTGTGCAATGCGCGGGCCATGCATCCACAACACGAGGCAATGGTTGGGAACATTCGTAGGCTTTCGGGCTTCTAGGGTCGTCGTTCCTGCGCTTTGCATCCATGGAGTCACTACAACCCGAGATGGTCGCATGTGGTGTCCAGAACCTGGCATTTCGGGTTTTGAGGGCTTGGGGGGTTTAGGGTTTCAGGGTCTCGGCCCTTACCAAGGGACTCCGAGCAACATTTAAACTCCCTCCATAATGATTCCTGGACGCTGGGATTTGAAATTCAACTCGAGCAGTCATATAAAACCCTCGCAGATCCTCTGGGGCAAGTTAAAGAATTGCTGAATCTGCTTTCGCCCTGCGCCTAGACCACCGAACACATCTCAAAGGCATACAGTAAGAAGTAGGGTGGTTCGTCTTGTCGAAGACGTACGCTGTGGATGTCGAGTTCACTGCGAATTCGGCCGCGGTGCATCCGAGAATTCAGCCGGAATCTGCTACCCGGCTTCGCTGTGGAATGGGCCACCATCCCAGAACTCAATCAACACTTCAAAACCGGGACTGGGGTCCGTAAATGTTGAGGCAGGAAGTGCGAACAACAAAGCAGAAGCTCCGAGGTATCAGTACATGTCGGTTGGATTTGAGGCAGAACTCTTAAAGAGAACAACACAACTCTAATATTCAATGCTCAATCGAACCCTCGTTCATGCGAGTCCTCCCTGCCGGTATCCCAAGCGCCCCATGGCTTCCCTCCGCCAATGCCCTGAACTCTAGGGTTTTGGGAAATTTTAGGACTCAAGGGTCTGGGAGTGTTGGATCCAATATGGGGGCTTTAATATTTAGAATGAGGTTTTGGGGTATAGTATGGTATAAATATAAAAAATAAGGAAACCCCCCCCAAAGTAGTGTTTGCTGAAGAGCATGCCACCTTTGCAGTGCTTGCCATGTGTACATACTCGTTTTTCCGTTGCTCTTTAGGCTAAGCACAGCTTGAGCCTTGAGCATGCTTTTAACGGCACATGCCCTATAGCTGTAGGTACCATGTCCAAGTAGCACAAACTTTAAGACCTTCTTGGCTTGCGCGTAAAAGTTTCCGCCTTTCGAGTTGTCGGGGTTGAGCTTTGCAGGGGACCTGATCACTCCACCTGCAGCCTCCACCCAGCCTGCTGGTTCAGTATTGGTAGTTATTTATTTAGGCCCCCTAAACCCTAAACCCTCCATGTGGTCTAGGGCTGTAGCGCCTCAGGTCCAGGGCCCTGAGATTTGCACACCGCGAGCCACTGCAAGCAGAGTCTCAGCTGCACACCCGGAATTTCGAACGTGAAATAATAAGAACAATAATAAGAATAGTAATAATAAAATAATAGTAATAGTAATAATAATAAAAATAATAGTAATAATAATAATTATAGTAATCCTAATAATAATAGTGTGAACCCTGAAGCCTTGACCCAGCACAGAACGCCCGAGAACTCTCAAAGAAGATGAGCCGCGCCGGCGATTCCACCAAACTCGGAAGGTCGCGCAGAGCGTCGCCTCGTCGTGCTGCCAACCATATACGGCTTATCGTTTTGGATTTACGAGGGAATTCAGCAAAGGAGGAGATCTCTACTTCGTGAATCCCAACTTAGAGAGGAGGAGACAGGGCATGATGCTGGTGCGGGTGATAAAAAAACATGGATCCTTCTGCGGGCCTTTGGAGTAAGGAAACTCTGAGATATCTAGGAATCTCCATTTCTTCAATTCTACTGCCTCTATTCTTGACAACCCCCATATCTGAAGCATTCTGAAGCGCTCCAGCCCTGACCGTCTGGAGCAAACGGGGCTCGGATGCCTACGAAACAACGGGATTTTCTGCTCAACCGTCGAATTTAGTTCAACTGATCTAAGTTCAACGAACTAACCAATGTACCAGCACCTTTGCTCCTAAACAATGTATCATAGGGACCCTTGGGTGTGTTAAGGGGGACGGGGGCAGGGGACTCTTCCTGAAATAGGCTTTGTTAGGTCCTCGTTACAGGCATTCAGTCCCCCTACTCCCCTCCCCTCTACCTCCGGAAGGGTCCTTAGGAATGTAGAATACGCCCTTGTAATCAGCGCATGCTACCTCAAGGCTCTGTGCCGTTCTGGGGGGTGTGGGACTGTGCGACTCTCTGGCACGAGTACACGATCCACATACATCGGCCCTGGAGGATTTTGGGCTTGGGGTTCATGGTGTCAGATAGTCTCAGTGTTGAGTTTTGTGCTCTTGCTTGCAGTGTTAAAGTCGGTTTGCCAATGCTGCGGAGCTACTCTACAAACATCTGGAGCATGAAACGTGAATGGCCCTTGGAAGCATAATACTTCCATCTCATGCTGGGTCCTGCTGCAACTAGTGTTCACGCA